CGGAAAATGATTATAATAAAAATTTAATAATAAAAACTTACTGTTTTTTTCCCGTCTTATCTAATATTACCGACTGTTTTTATCTTACATTATCCTTCAAGTTTTAAGTATGAAGTTATCTTCAAAAATTTTTAAGGCATTTTCTCATTTCAGCTAATATTTTCCCCCCATGTTCCCCTCACACAAAAATATTTTTTTAACCCAAACGTTCACCTCTTTGGGAGGTGTGGAGTTAAAAGAAAAAATTCAAAAACAAAGGGGGAGTTGTTCAATTTGGGTTCTTTGCTGTTTGGCACGGGTATTTTTGGGGAGATTTTGAAGAGAATTTTGCAGAGGTTGGTGGATGAGTTTGGTAGGGTATGCAAAAAAAGGGAAAATTAAATGTGAATTTTAGGAAAGAGTAAGGTTATGAGGATAACAAAAAAATTGGGTAACGAAAGACTGGGGTATTAAAATTGGAGGGAAAAGAGGGATGGGGGAGGTGAATGTATTCGTATTTGGGAGTGGGCCCTGTCACCGATTGGGGCCCTTGTTTAAAATGAGGTGGGGAAACACAGAAAATGAGAGGGGAAAAAAAAGTTTAGTGGGTGCCTGAGGGTGTGTGGAGACAAAAAAACTTTGTCCAGGAAGCAAAAAAGGGGAAAAGAATGAGAATTTTTTTTACCAACATCTTTATGAGTTTTTTGGGATAGGGGTGAATTTTTAAAAAAGGAAGAAAGGGTGGAGGGAGGGGTTTTTTTGTTTAGGGCCAAAGTGTGGGGTGAAATTTAATTTCAGAGAATCCGCAAATTTGGAGTTGGGAGGAGGTGCGGGGTTACCCAAAAAAAATTATCCAGAGGGGGTTGGAAGGGTTGAGGTGGTTCCGGGGGGGGTTGTGAGGGGTGGAAAAAAATAGAATGACTTTGAGGTGTATAAAACTGTAGTGGAGGGAAAAACGGGATTAAAAGGGTTGGCCCAGGAAAGGCTGGAAAGGGGGGGGGGTTTAAAAGGGGGTTTTTTGTGCGAGGAGCTTGGACTTCCATCAAGGGATGCGTTTAGAAAGTTAGGTAGTAAACGAATGGAGGGCAAATGGGGTTTTTGGACTTGGGCGTGCTGTTGGGGGTATGTGCAAGGTAACATTTATGAAGGGAAAACCCAAAGGGAAAACGGGAGGCCCGGACTTGAGTCCTGGAAAGGGGGGAAGTAGAGTGCCTGCATTTGAAGGGGGGTGTTAATGTTGCAAATTTAAAAACTGTAGTGAAAAAAGCCCTGGGAAGACGTGGGAGTGAATGATGAAAGCCCTTTTTTTTTTTTGTTTAGCCACCGTGCCTTGGTGGGGGAAATGCCGAATTTAGTTAATAAAAAAAATAAGGGTGTGTACTATAAATTTTGGTTTTGGGGAGGGGAAAAGAGAGACTTCAACAGGTTGTAAGAAGTGGGGTAGGGGAGAGGGGGGGAAAAAAGGGGTTTTCAATATTAATAACTTTGTTAAAAAATCTTTACGGTTAAAAATCAATAAAGATAATGCTTAACCCTTAAAAACTTATTGTATGGCAAATGGGAAAAGCAACCCTTTGGACAAAGGGAACTTTAAAAAATTACAATTTTAGGAAAAACTAATTGTAATTAATTTTACTTATTTCAAAGTTTTCTTGAATTTCGACAGTTAAAACGACTTTAAAAACTAACTAACTTTGTAAGTATCGTTTTAACCCTTTGTTTAAATATATTTAAACCCCTTTTAACAACGTTTTGGTAATTTAAAGTTGGTACGTCCCCTGTGGTTTTGGGGGACACTTTTCGTAATTTATGAATCTTTTGTGTGACTGTCGTTGATAAAACAAAGGGGCTTGTTTACACTGAAAAATTGTCCTGAAACCGGATTTGTTATGTATGGTCATGTTTAAAAAAAAATTCCCCTTTATACGGAAAGTGAAAGTGTTTAAAAATTTTTAATATTTCGGGCCCCTGCCCATACTTTAATACTGGACTCGGTTTATGCTGTTTGGCTGTGGAAACTGGAAAGACACAGCCATGAACTCTAATTTTAAAACCAAAAGGTTCCCTTTTACAGTCATCAAAAACCCGGCCCATCGTTCCTGAAAAAGCTAATTTAAATGTCGTTTTTTACGTGCCCCAGGGACTGGTTGTGTTTAAGCTGTGGGGGCTCTGTGTCGGTGGTTTATGCAGGACAGCAGCCATGCAGTCTGTTGAATTTTTAAATGGGATATTTTGAAGAAAATTTTGGTAAGGGGTCTAGTAGCCCGGTTTTGAAAGGGAAGTTACAAAAAGTACCACGATAAAAGAGTGGTTTAAAAATGGTAGTTTGTTTGAGTTGGGTAGTAATTGTGATGGTGGGGTTTTTTGTGGTATTTAGGTTTTATGGCTATTGTGTTTGTTTTGATGGTAGTTGTAGTAGAGATTAGTTATGGTAGTGGTGGTAGCTGTGGTGCTGGCGTTGGTAATGGTGGCATGGTAGAAGTAGTGTGGTTATGGTATTAGTAATGGTGGTGCTGGTGTAGTTGTAGCGTAATGATGATTGTGTGATGGTGGTTGTGCGATGGTGGTTGTGTGATGTGATGGTGGTTTTGTGATTTGATGGTGGTTGTGTGATATGGTTGTGTCATGTGATGGTGGTTGTGTCTTGTGGTGGGGTTGTGTGACGTGATGGTTGTGTGATGTGATGGTGGTTGTGTGATGTTGTGGTGGTTGTGTGATGTGATGTGGTTGTGTGATGTGGTGGTGATTATGTGATGGTGGTTGTGTGATCTGGTGGTGGCTGTGTGATGTGGTAGTGGTTGTGTGATGTGATGTGGTTGTGTGATGTGATGTGGTTGTGTGATGTGATGTGTGTGATGTGGTGGCTGTGTGTGAGGTGGTTGTGTGATTGTGATGGTGGTTATGTGAGTGGTAATGGTAGTTGTGCGGTAATGGGAGTTGTACGGTAATGGTGGTTGTGCGGTAATGGTAGTTGTCCGGTAATGGTAGTTGTCCGGTAATGGTAGTTGTGCGGTAATGGTAGTTGTCCGGTAATGGTAGTTGTTCGGTAATGGTAGTTGTCCGGTAATGGTAGTTGTTCGGTAATGGTAGTTGTGCGGTAATGGTAGTTGTCCGGTAATGGTAGTTGTCCGGTAATGGTAGTTGTTCGGTAATGGTAGTTGTCCGGTAATGGTAGTTGTCCGGTAATGGTAGTTGTCCGGTAATGTGTTAGTTGTGCGGTAATGGTAGTTGTCGGTAATGGTAGTTGTGCGGTAATGGTAGTTGTCCGGTAATGGTTAGTTGTGCGGTAATGGTAGTTGTCCGGTAATGGTAGTTGTGCGGTAATGGTAGTTGTCCGGTAATGGTAGTTGTCCGGTAATGGTAGTTGTCCGGTAATGGTAGTTGTCCGGTAATGGTAGTTGTGCGGTAATGGTAGTTGTCCGGTAATGGTAGTTGTCCGGTAATGGTAGTTGTGCGGTAATGGTAGTTGTCCGGTAATGGTAGTTGTCCGGTAATGGTAGTTGTGCGGTAATGGTAGTTGTCCGGTAATGGTAGTTGTGCGGTAATGGTAGTAAAGGTACGATTAGATATCGTTCTGTGGCTCGTGCCTTAAGAGAATTTTTTTTTTTTTTTTATTCGCCGGTACTCTCCCGGCCCGGGTCTTATAAACTTTCCTGTTATATACAATATTTGTTTTTTTCTTTATAGGAAGCCTAGTTTATTTATGTATATTTTTTTAAAATAGTAATTTGCACACGACAAATGTTGGCTTTACCAAAGAACAATAAAATGAAGTAGATTAATTAATTACACTTGCAAAAATGCTAGCCTCCTCTGGTGTGATCATCCCTCCCCCGACCCTCTGTCCTCGGACTATTTGCCGGCCTGAGTTCTGGTCATGTAGCTATAAGCACTGAACACGGGTATACTACTAGCACAGTTCTGCTCCCGTAATTATAACATTGAAGATGGTACACTACTAGCACAGTTCTGCTCCGTAATTATAACATTGAAGATGGTACACTACTAGCACAGTTCTGCTCCCGTAATTATAACATTGAAGATGGTACACTACTAGCACAGTTCTGCTCCCGTAATTATAACATTGAAGATGGTACACTACTAGCGCAGTTCTGCTCCCGTAATTATAACATTGAGATGGTACACTACTAGCACAGTTCTGCTCCCGTAATTATAACATTGAAGATGGTACACTACTAGCACAGTTCTGCTCCCGTAATTATAACATTGAAGATGGTACACTACTAGCACAGTTCTGCTCCCGTAATTATAACATTGAAGATGGTACACTACTAGCACAGTTCAGCTCCCGTAATTATAACATTGAAGATGGTACACTACTAGCATAGTTCTGCTCCCGTAATTATAACACTGAAGATGGTATACTACTAGCACAGTTCAGCTCCCGTAATTATAACATTGAAGATGGTACACTACTAGCACAGTTCTGCTCCCGTAATTATAACATTGAAGATGGTACACTACTAGCACAGTTCAGCTCCCGTAATTATAACATTGAAGATGGTACACTACTAGCACAGTTCTGCTCCCGTAATTATAACACTGAAGATGGTACACTACTAGCACAGTTCAGCTCCCGTAATTATAACGATGGTACACTACTAGCACAGTTCTCCTCCCATAACTATAACACTGAAGATGGTACACTACTAGCACAGTTCTCCTCCCATAACTATAACACTGAAGAGGGTACACTACTAGCACAGTTCTCCTCCCATAACTATAACACTGAAGAGGGTACACTACTAGCACAGTTCTCCTCCCATAACTATAACACTGAAGATGGTACACTACTAGCACAGTTCTATTCTCGTAACTATAAACAGGTAGCCTCTAATAAACTGCAATTAAGTTTTAAAGTGGTAGCCAAGTAAGCCAGTAGAAGGCCTCGGACAGATAACCAAAAGCGTCAGTGGTGGGGTCACTATGAGACTAAGATCCACGTCAGGAAACACTTGTTTCCTGACGGACCTTACCTAGCCAAAGGTAAGCTCACACACCTCTATGTTTGATCTGCCTCAAAAGCTGCAGATTGAAGGTGTCATCCAGATCCAGCAACTCCACTTGTGGCTGACCACCCGTCGCCCCGTACTTCATTTCCACCTCCAGTACCTTCCATCTGCAGTACAGCGAGAGTCATTGGTTGTGTTATCACAATCACTGAAGATAAGTTTTTCATGTCACTGGAAATGCCTTTTACAGGAAATTCAAAATAGATTCTTAGGTTCCGTAATTATATATATATATACATATATATATATATATATTATATATATATATATATATATATATATATATATATTATATATATATATATTATATTATATATATATTACATAAATAAGTAAGATTTGCAAAATGTTGTAAAAGTAAAATAATGTGTAAAAAAAAATCCTAAAGGGATACCACCACCGTCCCATTAGGGAAAAAAGTGTATCAAAACACACTTGTCATCCTGGACACAGTATACATCACAAACCTGTCATCCTGGACACAGCATACATAACATACTTGTCATCCTGGAAACAGTATACATCATATACTTGTCATCCTGGACACAGTATACATCATATACTTGTCATCCACGACACAGTAAACATCACATAAGCATCATTCCTCTCCTTGAAATACTGTAGAGGAGCGACGGATATTAGTGTTAAACTCTCAATAACTAACTGCCACCAGGTGAAGTCAAAGTTTAAATCATTTTCAATGGCAACTTTATCCTCTCTTTGACTCTTTGTAACTGTGTGCATTTGTACCTGCATTTGTCTCTCATTATGTTTCTCATTCTCTTTCCTCTGTTTTTGTCTACCTCGTCCTCTCTCACCTGTAGTAAACAGAAGAACCTGCCACCAGAGGCGAGTCGCTGACTTCATTAAATATCTTAACTGAGAATCACCTGAGCATTGACAAGTGTTGACTCGCGAAATCGTAATGCCACGATTGCAATCAAACCATACCACGGGTGGGGTTAGAACCCGCGATCAGAGAATCTCTCTGATCGCGGGTTCTAACCCCACCCGTGGTATGGTTTGATTGACAAACGTTTATTACACTTTAGTCATAATGCTTTATTGAACATTCACCTCTAAATCTGACTTACACAAGTCTCACAACTGCATACCTAAGAAACTGCAACGTCAACAAGGTTTTTACAAAGCAATTATTAATCAAAATCAGGGAAAAAAACTTGATGATACAATACACCAATCAGTATCTAATTATGTTTATCTTGTCTTGTTTTTTCAACCTACCCTTCGTACGTCCTCTGATGTTTGCTAGGAGCAGCGAAAGTCACCTGAAAGGTAGTAGCTACCATAGCCACCACGCCCACCATTAGTCCTACCATCATGCGAGGTGCTCGTCTCTCCATCCCGTTAAAATTCTTCGGATCCAGGATCACTGTCCTCATCCAGGATTTGTGACTCGGCTCCCGCAACCACAAATGTGTTAGCTGCAGTGATCAGGCCGGGTCTACTCTGGTTCAGGGCTGCAAATGTAAGGCTGATATTAGTTCAGATGTTACACCTTCAACATATGCTAATTATTTATGATTATCACTGAAAGTTAGATATCGTGAACGTAACTCACCGTCAAGAGTCACTGCAAGGCTCAAACCTGGATGTCCAGTTATACGGAAATTCAAATTTCAAAATGATATTGCAGATGTTACAAACTGTAAAAGAGGAACAGTGTGGGACTGAAGACGTGATGAGTGGCCAGCAGTACTATACTCGCCGTAAAATTTCATATTATGCAGGGAAAAATATTAGACATGTCTTAACTATCATTGGGTTGACTGCAAAAAAAAAAAATAACTTCAGTGTTACATTTAGAAGTGAGGATGTCAAAAACTAATGACATTCAGTGAATAACATCAGGAGGAGAAAACTCCAGCAAGTGAAACCTAACTATTTTAGTGTAAATACCTATTGAGGTATAAACATTCAACTCAGACTTGAGCTCCATAATGTATAAACTCTCTAAAATTCCCTATTTCTAATTTATGCCGTGTTCTACTTATCAATCATATCATATCAATGCTCTGGTATTTATATGATTAACTCTTTTGATTCCTTTCGTCAGTTTCGCTCTCGGAATCTTCCTGACCTGTCCACTTATCGTGGTGTTCTTCCTGTTCTTGATAGTCTGTCGTGTAAGAATTGCCACCTTCCTCGACGCTGTCAACTTGCCCTCTCTTCTCTTAAATCTAAGAGTGCCAATATTGTCATCGTTTCTTCCGATGCTGCTGCTGGTGATAGTGTTGGTGATGATGTTGGTGATGATGATGGCAAGGAATTGGGGGGGTGACCGTGGGTGGGTGACCATGGGTGGGTGATCGTGGGTGGGTGACAGTGGGTGGGTGACCGTAGGTGACCGTAGGTGACCGTAGGTGACCGTAGGTGACCGTAGGTGACCGTAGGTGACCGTAGGTTCGTAACAGCGGGTGGGTGACAATGGGTGGGTGATCGTGGGTAGGTAACAGTAAGTAGATGACTAATGAATGGGTGACCGTGAGTGACAGTGGGGGGTAACCGTAGGTGGGTGACAGAGGGTGGGTGGCAATGGGGTGGGTGATCGTGGGTGAGGTAACAGTAAGTAGATGACAATGAATGGGTGACCGTGGTGACAGTGGGGGGTAACCGTAGGTGGGTGACAGAGGGTGGGTGTGGCATGGGTGGGTGGACAATGGGGTGGGTGGGGTGATAGTGTGTGGGTGAGTGGGTGGGTGATGTGGGTGGGCGACAGTGGGTGGGGTGACAGTGGGTGGGTGAGCTGGTCATCACCTACGGTCTGCAAGATCTTTCCTGAAGACCTACGTGAGCACACTTTCAAGCAGAAGGACCTTCATGGATCGTACCTTCTGGAAAGATCTAGAGGAACCTCCTGACATAGTTTTTCCCTGGAAAAGCTATACAGGAAACCCCCCCTTACATAGTTTTCCTTGGAAACCTCTTCGGAAAACACCCAGACGACACTTTTCCTTAGAATGGCACACATACACATTACGACTGCTGTGTGCAGGTCCACACACAACTTTAATCATAAACCACACTCATTCCATGGTTTATGGTTTAAGTTAGGTAAGGTTTGTCAGGAAACAGGACAAGTGTTTCTGATGGCCCGATGCTGAAGCTTTCCGTCAACTGTTGAGGCCTTCCACTGGCTTACCGTCCACCCTTTTAAAAATTATGGTGATAATTATAATCATTCAGCATTCTTTATGCATTCAAACCATTGATAAAGAGGAAGGAAGGAAAATCACCTGGGAACAGCTACAAGATAACTTGAACAGTAGGTGCACAAGTTACGAAAATTTGGGAAAACAGAAAGAAGACTGGAGATGAGGTACGACAAGGACTCTGACAAACAGATTGAAAATTGGTAATAAGGAAAATTATTTTGGATCAACTGATGTGTAAGCGACGTATATAAAATAAACAAAATGATAAACTGTGGAACCTTAAACTTAACCCGTCACTCAAAAATATATTTATATCATATCATGATTACGAAGTCCATAATGTTCGAGTACTTGGTAGATGACCAGCATCAGACTGATAGGAGATCTACGACAATAACGCACAGCTAGAACTTAAAGGTGTAAATGAGCCACAGTAAGCTTACGGAATACTTCTTCAGCCTCAGGATGATCAGGAAGTGGAAGCAGGTTCCATAAACAGGTTTAGGACAGGTACGACAATACCCAAGAGGCAAGAAGTAGGTTATATTAGTCACATGAAGTTGTAACAACACACACACATACAAATCAGACCAAGTGTCTGTCGACAAGTGCCTTTGACAACTAGTAAGTACTACTACTACTACACACACACACACACACAGTGAAGGCAGGATCCATACATAACTTTAAGAAAGGTACGATAAGGCTCTTGGAGGCAGGGAAAGAGTGGACCACACACACATACAGTCCTTCACCTTTGCCAGAGGTGAATGACAGGAGCAGCCAGGAATGGTGAGTTGGTATCACAGCAGTGTTGTATAGCGGGTCTCTGAACCCGCATCACTGATATTATATTTGCTACAAGGCGCTAAATTAACAGACGGTTATACTGTTTTGCGGAGGTATTATCCAGTTCTCTCTTCTGTAGTATAAATTAACTGCGGATAACATAGACCAGTAGTTTGGGACAGTGTATACAGACCAACTAGTGATGGTTTGACAATTAAGAAGTCAGGTAACGCTGGAACAAAGGTGTATCAGTGTACACGACTGTCTACTACCATGTGCGACAGTCTATGAATGTACGTGGCAGTCCGTGAATACATGTGGTCGAGCACTGGCAGGGACGAACACTGAACTTACGTAAATGTTGAACAATGACTGCAAAGTTCCATATCATCTTGGACGATGTACTAGGTGTTTACAGAAGCCAGCTACACTCGGTCCCACTGTACACAGTAGTGTCAAAAATTCAGCATTACAGGAGATAAAGGTAAGACACATAGTTGAACGCATCTTCTCCACCCACTTCCTATCTCTAAACTTTCTCTTGCCTCCTTTGCTTATTCATAAGTCCCATCTACTCAGAGTTCGACATTCGTGAATACCGATACAGTCTAATAATCTATCCAGCTCAAGGCTGCATCCTGTTTTCACTGTATTTTCGTTTTTTCTTTACTCGTTCCACTTATCCCACAGCCCGTGGACTTCATGTGCGACCTCTTTCTCTCTCCTTCAGCACCCTGATGCCGTCTCTGTTAATAATAATAATAATAATATCTTTATTTACTACAAGTACATGTACAAGGTATACAGTCCTAGCTGACAACAATGACATACTACTATATAGAAAGTCCCTTGTTATGCTCCGCATTTCGGTACATTTCGGGCAAATTAGGTCAGTTTCCCAGGATGCGACCCACACCAGTCGACTGACACCCAGGTACCCATTTTACTGATGGGGAACATAGACAACAGGTGGAAAGAAACACGTCCAATGTTTCTACTCTGGCTGGAAATCGAACCCAGACCCTCGCCGTGTGAAGCGAGAGCGTTAGCCACCAGGCCACCAGGTGCCCTTTTCTCCTCATAACTGTTACCTCTTCCTTTTCTTCTATATTTTTACCCCTTCATAGGAAATGGGGGCGTTTTAATGCTGACGAAAAGTTGCTGATTGAGAAACTCGAGCTAACTCTTCCTTGGATAAACCCCGATAAACAATTCCCATGAAAATGAAAGAAGTCAACATTTCCTCTGCCGTCTAAGCATTACCATACACCATTGAATCTTTCCTACGGATATCTTTTTTGTAACTAAATGTATTAATTATAATGTGTGAATGGAAACTCTATCCTGACACTGCAGGTTGTTGCAAGGTTTTATGCTCGGTAAATAAGAGGTCTTCCTTATACGTAGAGTTATAAAGGATAAATGTTAACATTGTATGTTTTTCTCTTTGTTGAACACTGTGGACACGGAAGTTGTTAGCACTGTGCGGTGTGTTGCTTTGTTGAGACATAAGTAGAGCACTACAATGTGTGGTACAATCACTAAGTAATGTGACATTATGTCTGCCTCTGCAATGTGTAGTACACTCAATACGTAATCAGTAATGTTATAGGAGGTTACAAAAAGTTAAATGTTACTCTTGTTTTACACACACACACCCCACACACACACACACACACACACACACACACACAACACACACACATACATACACACACACACACACACACATACATACACACATACACACACACATACATACATACACACACACACACACACACACACACACACACACACACACACACACACCACACACACACACACATACACACCACACACACACCACACACACACACACACACACACACACAAACTAAGAGAGAGAATGGAAAAGGTACAGGAGGCATAGGACCGAGGAAAACAAGGAGATTAGTAGAAGAGCCAGAAACGAGTATGCACAGATAAGGGGGAGGCCCAGCGACAGTATGAAAACGACATAGCATCGAAAGTCAAATCTGACCCGAAACTGCTGTATAGCCACATTAGGAGGAAGACAACAGTCAAGGACCAGGTGATAAGGCTGAGGAAAGAAGGTGGAGAACTCACAAGAAACGATCAAGAGGTATGTGAGGAGCTCAACACGAGATTTAAGGAAGTATTTATAGTAGAGACAGGAAGGACTCTGGGGGGACAGACCAAATGGGGACACCAGCAAGGAATACACTAACAAGTGTTGGACGACATACATACAGATGAGGAGGAGGTGAAGAAACTGCTAAGGGACATCGATACCTCAAAGGCAATGAGACCGGACATCTCCCCGTGGGTCCTTAGAGAGGGAGCAGATATGTTGTGCGTGCCACTTACCACAATCTTCAACACGTCCATGGAAACTGGGCAACTACCTGAGGTATGGAAGACGGCAAATGTAGTTCCCATTTTTAAAAAAGGAGACAGAAAAGAGGCACTAAACTATAGACCTGTGTCATTGACGTGTATAATATGCAAAGTTA